AATCAGATTTAAGCTTAAATCAAAAGGAAATCCGCTCAAATTATGAGGCTTGATTCTTGATTTAAGCTTAAATCTGATTGAATCAAGAGTCCTTTTTCTTGTCGGTGTTTTTAAGAGTCTGGACTCTAGATCCAATGTGTTTTTTTTTTCCAGTGCAGGAATTTAACTGTCATGAAATTTTGCCACCCTGATTATTCTAGATGGACAACGGCGGAGGAGTACAACAGGCCCGTGCGTGTATTTGGGGCGTGGTCGACAGAGACCCTTGCCGTACTCTCGCCACGCACCAACTCAACCTCCCGGTCCTCCGCCAAGCAGCCGACGCGACCTGCCAATTGGCCTACCTCAGCTTCCTGCGCCTCCCCCCTGGAGAGCGGGGCTCCTCCTGCCCCTTCGTGACAGGGCCCGCCGTGTGTCGCACGGGTATCAGCCCCTGACCCAACACCCCCAAATGCTCCTTCCGCTGCGCTGCGATGATCCCGTCTCCACGGCGCAGCCCTCGGCTCCGGGGAGGGCGCGCACCATCGCCGCCAAGATTCGGGTACACGGAAAAGGGTATTCAGGACATCGCGAGGACCGTTCCGGAGCCACCGCCGCCATCACCGACGCACAATCCTCCCCTCAACGCGAGTCGTCACCGCTGCTGGGCACCGCCACCCCCTTAAGACCGTCGCTAGAGGAAAGTCGTATTTTGTTCGACGAAACAATTCGGAACACCTCGTAACAACCGTATTTTGTTCGAATGTTTTTTATGTTAAGGGGCGGGGCCTATTTTTTTATCTTGCACAATTTGGCAACGTTTTCGTAACATTGTTTCGAAACAATCGTAACATCCTCCAAGCTTGTTTCGGCGAGGTTAAAACAGTTGAAACAGGATTTCTAACCTCACTTTTGGCAGCTCCACTCTCATTGGCTGCGAAAGAAAGTGACGCAAATAACAGGAAACAGAAAACAGAAAACATGTTTCGTCGAACAAAATACGACTGAATCCTGAGCCGCACTGTCAGATCCGAGAATGGGACTTATGCGAACTTCAGCCAGAGCAAAAAGAAGAATTGGACTACATTTTGCNTGGAAACCAATGAAACCACTTTTAGAACCTCAAAGTTTCGTATAAATGGAGTTATAACCGTTTAAAGTTTTCAACTTTTGGCCGACCTCTCCCGTTGACTGGATCCACTGTACGGCGAAACACACGAAACAGAATAAAATCCACATAATTTTCCCACTCGGAGAATCTGGGGTGGCTGACGCAGGTCGGGAGACGGGAGCGCAAATCCCGCTTTCCACGCTAAATCCGGTTGCGTTTTTATTTCCTTTCGAGTCATATCCGAGCTGACAAGGACGCCACTGAGAGCAACTTAGCTCCGCCAGGTTAGCTCAGAGCTTAGTCAAACAGAAAAATATGCAAATGACTCTCCGCCGGCGCGCGGCTGCCAACCCCGCCGCGCGAAAAAAAACCCGCCCCACGGTAGAACGAGGGATACTCGTAAGAAATCCCCGGAATTTTCTGCAAAGACAGTGCACTGCCTTGCTATCACATTCGAAAACATATTTTCAACTCAGATCTTTACTATGACAAGCTAGGCAACAACTGCAAATTGTGATAACCGTCAACCATAACTAGAGGACCTTTATAGAAAGAGTACGGAAATATCGAAATATGTACAGTTGAATCCATTTCTGATTGGTTGCCGTATTTTAGGCCTCCACAGTGTCACAAACAAAGATTACTAAGGACTCCAGATACCGCATTGGAATAAAAAACGGCCCCCTAGTCCCCTGCAGCTCCAGGGTAGGCAACCTGTTTAGCGGTATGGCATACTTCGAGCTAACGAATATACTGTTTGCCTGTTTGCCGTGTGTTTAACCGGTTTCGCCGTGCTGTGCTAAGTTTGGTTAAAAATTCACTGTAATAAATTTTCTTATATTTTAAATCGTTAAAAAATGCCGAAAAATGCTGGAAAAAAAAAAAAAAANAAAAAAAAAAAAAAAAAAAAAAAAAAAAAAAAAAAATTAATGCGAATATCTCTGCTCAATTTTCTGAGTCTATTTACCATGACTAGTGACTAACATGAACAATTTTCGCAATTTGCCATTCATAATCTGCACATTCGAAGTGCAATTTCCCATGCACTTCCATTACAGGTGGGCTAAAGTATGGCATACCGCTACACAGGTTGCTCACCCTAGCGCTGCAGGCGACTGAGGGGCCGCTTCTTTCCTACAGCAAGTATACGGCGTGCGGTATCTGGAGTCCTTAGTAATCTTTGGTCACAAATGGGAATAAAGCTTACATTTTCCCAAATTGCAAAGATTATAATTTGGAATGGACCGAGGAATTACGGGTTCGACAAGGAACAAACGGAATGAGGGGAGGAACGGAGAAAGGAATTCGAGAATGGGCCGATCAAAGATTACAATAAACGTTCAATTTGTGTAATCTTTATTCCCGTTTGTGACTCCATGAGGGGGTGTTGTCTTGACTCTCAGTATATGGGGACTCTAGAAATATGTGTACATATTTCTAGAGTCCCTTTATACTGAGAGCAAAGATAATGCGAATCCATTTCTGATTGGTTCCCGTATTTTCGGCCCTCACGGTGTCAATGACGGGAATAAAGATTACATTTTCACCAACTGCAAAGACTATAAACTGAAATGGACTGGGAATAAGGGGTACGGCAAGGAACAAATGGAATGAGAGAGGGAACGGAAATAGAAATTCGGGAATTGGTTGATCAAAGATTACAGCAAATGTCCGATTTTTGTAATCTTTATTTCCGTTTGTGACATCCACAAGCCGCGTTGTCTCATCCTCTAGAAATATGGAGCTCCGCAAAAGGGACCGAAAAGGTTACACCTCCTAACATAAAAAATATTACTGTCAGGCTTCAACTTCCAATCTTTAACCAAAATTGCTAAGAATGTTAATAAAAGAGCCTCCTTCCGCAAAAATGAATAAATCTTTGGAAAAACTAAGTCAATTACGAGCTTTACCAACGACGGGTTGTAAAAATATTAGAACAAAAAATCACTCTAGATAATTCGAATTTATAGGTTGGCTGGTCTTTTGGGCCCTAAAAGCTTTAGAATATTTTGTTGCTTAACATTACAGATGGTAGAAACAAAAATAATTTTCTTATTCTGATGCATTATGCATCAGTAGTATCAGTATAATGCGTCTCGAGACTCATCTCAAAACGCACATTTACGTAACACGACGGATTTGTTTTCTGCCATGCCAAGGAAAAACACCGTATGAGCCCTCAGGCGTTGCCATATTTCCTTTAATAACCAACAGATTTACTGGGAAAATCCTGAATATTTTTCTTTCAATTTTTCAGACAATTTTGTTCCCAATTCACTCTAAAATATCGAGAAATTTCAAGGAAAAATACGCATAACTTTCTTCAAATATACAACGTTTTACTCTGGAAAATTCGGCAACTTTCGAATGTTCATACGGCGTTCTTCCTTAGCACGGCAGTTTTGCTCTACACTGCAAAACTCCACCGAAGAGAGCAGCAAGTAAAAAAATTAAGTTTTTAAAAAACGGGCTCAGAAGCGTCGGACCGGAAAATTGCATTGAAAGAAGCCCCCGTTTGCTGTCATATTGCCACTAATCATCCAAAAGACTCCTGGAAATCGTTTAGAAGATTAAAAATCGACCGGTTTTATATCAATTATATAAAAATGGAATTTTTCATTTTCATGCTAGGCTATTGTTTGGCAAGACAGCCGTAAGTGCTATATTCTGGCGGCTCGAATAGTTGTACAACTCCAACATTTGCGGTATTCCCATTTCATATCCTCCTCGAGGACACTGTCGTGCTAGCAAAGAGAGCAGTAAGTGCAAAAATGAAGTTTTGAGAAAACGGGCGCAGAATCGTCGGACTGGAGAATTTTATTGAAAGAAGCCTACGTTCAAAAATGGGGACAACACAAAACGCCTTCAATTAGGAATGATACTGTGCAATACACGGAAGCTCGAATAGTTGTATCACTCTTTCATTTGCGGTATTCCCATTTCATATCCTCCTCGAGGACACTGCCGTGATAGCGGAGAGAGCAGTAAGTGCAAGAATGAAGTTTTGAGAAAACGAACTTAGAATCGTCAGACCTAAAAATTTTATTGAAAAAAGCCTCCGTTTGCTGTCAAAGTACCACTAATCATCCAAAAGACTCATAGGAATTGTTTGAAAGATTAAAAATCGACCGATTTAATTTCAATTACATAAAAAGGGTATTTTCATGCTAGGCTATTGTTTGGCAAGACAGCCGTAAGTGGCAAGTTGACATCACCGTTTTTATTGGCTCTCAGGAGAAATTATGTCACTTACTGCCGTTTTGTCTGAAACTACGTCATTTTTACCGCTTTCTCATGTCTTATGTTTTCATACATTTAAGATGAATTTTGCTGTTTTAGCTATTTCAATGGCTTTATTAAAAAAAGATTAGACGAATTGTGAAGGAAACTCAATTTCAAGAATTTAACACTTAATACTGCTGTCTTCGCTATCACGGCAGTAGGTATACCGCAAAACTGTGGCTTCACTGTGCGCCCGGTCGGAGTTGCGCTGACAGAAGAGGGCGGTACTTTACTCGAAAGCACTGTTTTCATTGGCTCTCTGGAGGAATAATGGCGCTTACTGCTGTCTTTCCTGAGACTACGTTATTTTTTCCGCACTCACGGTTTTTCTCATATGTCTCGTTTTGATAGAATTAAGATGAATTCCGCTTTTCTAGCTGTTTCAGTGATTTCATCTAAAAGAGATCAGACGAATTTTGAAGGAAACTCGATTTGGAAAATTTGACACTTACACTGGAAAAAAAAACACATTGGATCTAGAGTCCAGACTCTTAAAGACATTGACAAGAGAAAAAACTCTTGATTCAATCAGATTCAAGCTTAAATCAAAAGGAAATCCGCTCAAATTAAGAGGATTGGTTCTTGATTTAAGCTTAAATCTGATTGAATCAAGAGTATTTTTTCTTGTCAATGTTTTTAAGAGTCTGGACTCTAGATCCAATGTGTTTTTTTCCCAGTGTATTGCTCTCCTCGCTATCACGGAATTACACTGCAAAGCTGTGGCTTCAGTTAGAGTACCTGTATAGGGAGAGTAGCGACAGATCGGTTCATGGAGGGCTTAGGGCCCAAAAGTGCAGCCACCCTTCTGAGCAACTTCTAACACACAAAATTTCACTGCCAGCCTACAGATTTCGATTCTAACCAAGATGGCTAAGAATGTACATAAATGAGCGTTCTTTCGCAAAAATAAGTAAATTTATGCAAAAAGTAAACCAAACGCATGCTTTCTAAACGACGGTCCGTAACAATTGTATCTGTAAATCGCTCTGGACATTCGAAATTCATAGGTTGGCTGCCCTTTTGGGCCCTAACTTTATT